TGGCTGGTGGGGATCCCTGGGGGGGCCCTGCACCCGGGCTCCCTGCACAGCTGCTTCCCCCGCGTCTGTCCCCTTGTCCCTGGATGTGCAGCCGCTGCCCCCGATGCAGCAGCGCCCGGCCCCCAGCGCCCGGGGTGCCAGCGGGGCTGTGCCCCCTCCCTGCCCTTCCCTTGCAGAGGGCCGTGCCTGCGCCGTGGTGTTCGACTGCAAGTTCATCGAGACGTCAGCGACTCTGCAGCACAACGTGGCCGAGCTCTTCGAGGGGGTGGTGCGGCAGATCCGCCTGCGCCGCGGGGGCAAGGAGTCCCACGCGCGCCCCGTGCCCGGCCAGAAGCGCAAAGAGAGCCTCACCAAGAGAGCCCGGCGCTTCCTCGACAGGCTGGTGGCCAGGAACAGCAGCAAAGTGGCCCTCAAAGTCCGCTCCAAGTCCTGCCACGACCTGTCTGTGCTCTGAGAGCCACCGCCTTCCCGTCCCTCCGCTCACACAGGCTGGGACTCTCCTCTCTGCCAGCAGCGTTGCCGGCGGCTCCACGGAGAGCCCAGACAGAACTGGAGCAATGCTGAGGACGCGGAGCTGTTTTAACCGGTGCTGAGGGATGCCCGGGGTGCTCTGGATCTGGCTGCTTCCCCTCCAGGAGGAAGGACAAGTGGGGCCAGGTCCCTTGGGCTGCACCCGTGGAGCAGAGGGTGGGACAGGTACCTGCACTTGGGGTGGTGGGATCCTGGATTACAGATGCTCCTGGGGAGCCGGAGGAGGGGGGTGGCCGTGCCCCGGCGCAGGGCTGCCTGCAGGGCTGGAGGCTGCTGGGAGCTTGGCAGGCCCCGCTCGTGGTGCCCGTCCTTCGCAGGGCAGCAGGGACCGACGAGGGCACCGCAGTGGTGTCCACCTCGAGGATATCCTGGAGCCTGGCCGGGGAGAGGGGCCAGGGGAGCACCGGCAGCATCGCCTGGCACCTCCGGCCCCTCCGCGCCAGGGCTTTGTGCCACGTCTCCCTGGCACCAGTGTTTCTCGGACTGAGGTGTTTTTCTGCTGTCTCTGTACTGGTGCAAGGGGGAAAACCCTCGATCTGCAGAATAAACCGCATCAGGGAGGTCTCTGCTGGGTCCCTGCCATGGGGAGCCGTGTCCCAGAGCTGCGTGGCCGGATTCAAGCCCAGTTCCTTGCCCGTGGCCGGGGCAGAGGACCTGCCTCCTGCCCCAGCCAGGCCTCGGCGGGCTCCTTCTTCACCAGCTGAAACATCTCCGGGCAGGGAGAGCCTCCGTCTGGGGCTTTGTCCCTGCCATGGGGAGCCGTGTCCCAGAGCTGCGTGGCCGGATTCAAGCCCAGTTCCTTGCCCGTGGCCGGGGCAGAGGACCTGCCTCCTGCCCCAGCCAGGCCTCGGCGGGCTCCTTCTTCACCAGCTGAAACATCTCCGGGCAGGGAGAGCCTCCGTCTGGGGCTTCCTTTGGTGGAAGTCCTGATTCCCCACCCAGTGGTCACAGCATCGTCCCCGGTGACGGCAGAAGCCCCTGGGCCCCCTGCACCTCCCAGGTCCTGATCGGCTCTGGAAAAGCCTCTGGGAAGGGCTGAGCTCTGCTGAGGTGCAGGTTTCAAGCCCCTGAGCGCCGTGGGAGCCGCAGCTTGGGCAGGGAGCCGGGCGCTCGGTGGCTCCTGGTGCCCCGGGAAGGGGCAGGGAGGCAGGAGCCGAGCAGCGTGGCACCGGCCGCGGCGTGGCCCAGCCGGGAAGGGACGTGCTTGGCTGC